CGTAAGCATCGAGATCCTAGGTCGCATCTTGGTCAGTTGTTTGCAAGGGGGAGATACTTCTCTTCACCGTCGTACTGTTTCTTCATGTTGCCTTGCCCATCGCTGACCGCAATTCCCAGCGTCGCCGGCGCGCTATTCTCGGTGATCATCTCAGTTGGCGCAGTATATGAGGAATCCGATGGAGCCCCCTCCATTTATTTCTTTGTTTTTTTGTTATCACTCTCTTTCTCTCTCTCGCTCTCGTCCATCTACGCATATTGCCTCGAAGGCATGGGCTTCGAGCTCGGCCCCCGACGCGTCGCGGATTGCGGGGGGTTGGCCGTCGTCAACGGATGGAGGTGTTTGTTGAAAGACCGTCGGCATCTATCGAACAGAAAGACGCAGCGGATACCCCGCGGGCGCATTTAGTCAAGCGCGCTGTCCCACGCTGTCATCCGAAAGTCGTTCCTGGTGAATTATGCAAGGACAGATGTACCATCGGCGAAAAGTATGCTCGCCGCGGTCACGCGTGGGTGCCCCTGCATGGCGGGCAAGTGAAGTCGCCGACCACCGTGGCAGGTGCCCGCGCAGGTAGGCTCGCGATGAAGGCCGCGCGCGCGGCCATCGCATCGAAGCCGATCTCGCGGGCGATGAGGGCCCCCACGCAACGATGCGTGATCGTTGTAGTCCGCGAGACCATCTGGCTGATAGTTGCGCCGCCCAGATGGCGTCGCTTTGGCGCGCGAGACTCGATGAGCCTTCTCCGCTGCAGTGGCCTGCGCGACGGCCTAAATGCTCGCCTCCGCGGTCTAGCGTTCGCGGTCATGGTCGGACGCCCCCGCCCCTTGCTCTCGATGTATCACTGGTAGATCCGGGAGGCGGGCCGGTCATCGGCGCGCCCCCGGCCTTGGGGCGCGGCGGCGGTGAGCAGCCGCCGCCCGCGGCCGCGGCTGCGACCCCCTCGCCGCGCTGTCCTCGACGGCGGCGTCGAGCGCCGGGGGCTCGCCAGGCTTGGCCCTCCTCTTGCTTGGCGGATCCTGCGCTCTGCCGCCGTCGGAGGCGCCCCCGCCCGCGGGGCCGCGTCGCCGCGGCCGCCCATTTGCTCGCGGCGGCTGGCGGCGTTGCCCCCCGAGGGGCCGGCGGAGGCAACGCGCGCCCCGCCTGCTGGGCGATCCCCCGCGGGGGCGCGCGCCGCCCGCCTCCTCACCCTGCGGGCGGGGGGCCAGACCTCGCCACAGTTGAGGCGTCGTGGGCTTCTTGAGCGCTGTCTGGGGGCTCTGGGCGGCCGTCTTGGGCATTGCTTGGGGGCGTGGAGGAGCCCTTCGGAGGCAGTTTTTGAAGCATTTGGGGGGCCGTTCTGGGGCTTTTTCGGGGCCCCTCGGGGGCTTTTTGAGGCCTCTGCGGGGCTTCTTTTGAGCCGCTTGGGGGCTTCTGGGAAAGATATGATTGTCGGTTCGCGTTCTCCCTCTTGGCCTCCCTTGGGGCCCTCCCTCTTGGGGCGATCTTTGGCCGTTTTGGGCCCCTGTTTGGGATGCCTTGGAACATCTTGGAACTATCTCGGGCCGTCCCAGGGCCTTCGTAGGGGCCTCTCGAGCAGTCTTGGGGTGGTCTCCGGGGTTTCTTCGGCCGTCTTGGAGCGTCGGGATTTCGGGAAGACGACGACCCCAGAAATAACGAGTAAAGACCAAAACGGAAAACAATTGTTTTCTGCCTCTCGGGGCCCTCTTGGGTAGGCTATTGGGCCTCTCTTGGCGTCTTGGAGCCATCGTGGTCGTCTTGGGCCAGTCGTTCGGCTATTCTGGGCCGTCTAGGCACGTCTTTGAGGCCGCGGACGCCTCTGGAAGTGCGCCGGCGAGCCCGGATCCCCTCCTCTCCAACCGGAGTTTGGATTCTGGTGGAATGGGGGAAGGGGGAGGGGGACAACCAATTATCTCACGCGCGACCTCACCCCTGGCAAGCGTGGGTCGGTGGAATTTCGGTTTCTTCGGACCCGGTTGGAACCCCAGCCTGGCCACAGGCTAGGTTGTTTTTCAGGAATTCGGTGTCTGAGCATCTTTTCGGGCACCATGTATTTAACATCCATACTTTTGGGTGGACGCACTGCTCAGGTGGAATGACGAGATTGCCCGCTGTACGGCCGCTGCTGCTACCTTCTATGTATGTATATTGACGCGGCCCGTCGCTCGGCTCGTCCCCACGGATGGCGATTTCAGCAGCCTGGCGTGGCGACAAGAGGGGGCTGGCTGTTCAGACACAGGTCTGTCATTCTGACATTCACACACACACCACTCACCGTGGGCGCAGTGGTACACCACGCATGTAGCAGCATCCTTTTTGGCAGGTCCCTGTTCTGTCAGTTGTCTGCACGCTCGGGCTCCGCTGCCCCGTGTGCAGCTCCGAAGGCATGTGCAGTCACTTGCGTGCGCAAGTGGGATGTGCTGTTCGTTCCAGAAGATGTGCTTCAAGTAGACGCGCCGGGGCGCAGCAGTCGGGAGAGTGAGCTTCTACACGTTGTGCAAACAGGCCCCTGATGGGAGTCCACTGGAGTTCCTGGCCGCTTATAACAGAGCGGACCCAACTCCCGCGCCCCCCGTGTTTTCTCCAACCATCCTGTGGTGTTGCGTCCTCGATTTGAAGAGACATCGTCCTGCGCCGCCCCTCCCCTCTTCGCCTCCCCCCCTCTCTCTTCCCATCCTTGCCTCTGCCCTCCCTATGTCCGTTCGCCACGCCCCTCGCACGTTGGTCGCTCCATAGGGAACTCCACCGAGAGCGCGACTGGCAGCGCCCACAGGCGGTTCCACCTTCCAGTTTCGGCGCGTTCCTCACGCTTCTTGGCCTCATAGAGAGTTCCACCGAAGGCCCCAGTGGCAGCGCCCGCGTGGCGTACCCTGTGCGCACCCCTCACACGCTTCTTGGCCCCAGAAAGGGGGCTCCATCGAAGGCCCCAGTGGCAGCGCCTGCATGCGGTTTCACCCCGCATTTCGGCGCACCCCATCACACGCTATGTGGCCCATCGGCCGAGCCCACATGTGATTCCCCTCCTCCATTTCGGTGCACCCCTCACGCGCTTCGTGGCTCCATAGGGGGCTACTCCGAAGCCCCCAGTTGCAGCGCCCGCGTGCGTTCCATTCCCCTTTTCGGCGCACCCCATCACACGTTTCGTGGCCCCATAGGGAGCTCCACTGAAAGCTCCAACGGCAGCGCCCGCGTGCGGTTCCGTCCACCATTTCGGCCCACCGAAGGCCCCAGCGGTAGCGCCCGCGTGTGGTTTCACCTCGCAGGTCGGCGCACACCATCACACGCTTCGTGGCCCCTAGGGGGGCTCCACCGAAGGCACTAGTGGCAGCGCCCGCATGCGGTTCCACCTTCCCCATTCCGGCGCACCTCTCACCCGTTCTGTGGCCCCATAGGGAGCTCCACTGGAGACCCCAGTGGCAAGGCCCGCGCGGCGTACCCGCAGCCATTTTGGCACACCCGGCACGCGCGCCGTGGCCCCCCACACAGAGCTCCACCGAGGACGATACTCACAGCGGCGTTACGTACTCACAACTGCAGATGGTTGGGCCATTCGCCAGGATAGCTCCGGACCCCGCACGACCTGGAGCCTCCACCCGGGGCTCCCATGCGTCGTTGCAGCTCTCACTTTGGGCTCCTGCTCGTGGACATCCCGATGCAGCCCTGCATGCACACGTCGGGGCTCCCCTTCGTATCATGCTGGGCTCCTGCCCTCCAGTGCGCCAGGCAAGGGCGGGGGGGCGCCGCCGCCCCTGCTCCTGCGCCTGCTCCTGCTCCTGCTCCTCCTCCTCCTCCTCCTCCTCCTCCTCCTCCTCCTCCGCCCCTTCCCGCTCCTCCCGCCCCTCCAGTCTCTGTTCCTGCCCTCCCCGTTCCATCGTCTTTTGCACCCGTCGTGCACAGCGGCTCTCTCTCTCTCTCTCTCGCCACAGCAGCGCGGGCCGCGCCTCGGGATCCGAGTCCTGCCTCGTCGCTGCCGCCGCCCCCCTTTCTGCCCCTGCTCCGCCTGTCTGGACTCCGGGTCCTCCTGGTCCTCCTCCTGATCTTCTTCTGGTGCTCCTCGGCCAGCTCCTCCGCCACCTCCTCCTCCTCCTCCTCCTCCTGCTCCTCCTCCTCCTCCTCCTCCTCCTCCAACGTACGCAGACCCCTCTATGCGCAAAACGCTTTGGGGTCATTCGGGGGTCCAGGTCCGCTTTGACACCCGTCGGCTGATCGAGAAAAGCAGCGCAGTGGGAAGAGATGGGTGGGAGGGTAGGATGTCAAATTTGGCGCGAGCGCGCCTAGCTTGACCCCACCTTTCTCTTCATTCATCACCCATGCCTCCTTCCTATTCCCTTCCCCATGACCCCTGCTCCTTCGAATCTCCCTCGTCCCTCCACCGTCCTCTCTCCTCCCCGTTCCCTCCTCCGCGCACCCGCCTCCCTGATGCCTCCCTCCTCCTCCTCCTCCTCCTCCTCCTCCTCCTCTTCTCGCTCGTTCCTCGCCCCTCCCCCTTCTCCCTCCTCCCCAGTGCTGCGTACTTCTACCTCCTCCTCGCTCCTCCTACCCTCCTCCCTCCATCCCTCCCGCTGTGCCAGGGAGCAAGGAGAGAGAGCCTCCGTCCCACTGTGTTTCTTGCTCGCTGGCCAGCAGGCCCGGGGCCGCCAGTGCCGCCGGTGGCGGAGAGCGACGGGGGCGACTTCTCGGCGGACTTCGCCGTCGCGACGCCCACGGCGCCCTGGGCGCCACAGTGCGGCCGGCTACCGTTGGTGTGTGCGTGCGTGCGGCTTGTCGTTCCAAGGCTTTCGGAGTTTACTGCTGAGTTGAGGCTTACATTCGTTCCCTGCGGCCTGCCTGGGGTCCATCGCGTGCTGCTCCCAGAAGCCTGGGACATCGACCGCTTCGCTATCGAAGTGTGTGTGTGTGTGGTGTGTGTGTGTGTGTGCCTGTGCCCTCCGCCCTGCGCTGCTGGTTTTTCGAACCCGGGCTGCCGACGCGCGCTTCCAGGAGGTTTGCGAGGAGAAGGAGGAGTCGAGGGTCGAGGGTGTCCCCAGTTTGGGCTCCGCTGCTGTTCTGGCTTGAGGGGCGCGCGTGTGCGCCGCCTCCGAGCGCGACGCGCGCTCGCGCGCGCGCCCGATGGCGGACGCAGAGGCACACTGCTTTTCTCGCGTTCCTCCGCACCTCATTTGCGCTCTTCGCCCCTCCGCCCCTACCTCCCTCCCTCCCTTTCTCCCTCCCATCTCCTCCATCTCCTCCCCCTCCTCCTCCTCCTCCTCCTTCTCCTCCATCTCCTCCTCCTCCTCCTCCTCCTCCTCCTCCTCCTCCTCCTCGTCCATCTCCTCCTCTCTCCTCCTCCTCCTCCTCCTCCATCTCTCCTCCTCCTCCTCCTCCTCCTCCCTCCTCCTCCTCCTCTTCCTCCTCTCTCCTCCTCCTCTCCTTCCTCCTCCTCCTCCATCTCCTTCTCCTCCTCCTCCTCCTCCTCCTCCTCCTCCTCCTCCTCCACGCTTCTTCCTTGTAGCAGCATCTCCTCGTCGCACTGCCAGGCGCATCGGTCGGGTAGGCTGGTTGTTTCGACGGAGTCTTCTTCACCATTTGGATGGAGGGATAACCGTTTTCAAACGTGGTTCTCGCTTCAATACCGCGCGCATTCTTCTAATATCTTTTATTGTAGCCACAAGGGTGGAGGGCGGATCGTTTTCAAAATGTTACTCTCACCCTGGCGCGGCGCACGTCAGTCTTAAGATATCTAGTTGTCCTCGGCTCGCCACCGTGCCTGGGTCGTGGATGCCTCTTGGAGGGGTCTTGCGGCTTTTCGGAGGGCTCTTGCGGCCTCTTGGGGCCTTTCGGGGGCTTCCTGGGGGCATCTTGGGGGCCTCCTGGCTGCTGGCGGTCTCGGGGGCCATTTTGGGGCGGAGGGATCGAGATGTCAGTTCGTGCTCCCTCTCTTGGGCCCCTCTTGCGGCCGTCTTGGTCCGTCTTGGGGTTCTCTTGGGCCTGGTGGGCTGTGTTGGGGCGACTTTGGGGGTTTATTGGGCCGTCTTGGAGCGTCGGAAGTTCGAAATGTGAGCACGCTAACACTCTTGAAACACCGATGGTAAACCAAAGGTTCTGGCCACCTGAGGCCCTCTTTGGGAGCCTCGTGGAGCCTTCATGGGGTGCATTTGGGGGCCTGTTGGGTTGTCTTGAACCTATCGTGGGCTGCCCTTTGGGCCCTCGCGGACAATCTTGGGCTTTTCAGCGGCTCGCCGTCCCGGCAAACCACCACGCCCCGAGGGCGCTGGGCAAAATTCCGAGAAGTTCGTGGCCCGGGCCGTCAAAAACCACCTCTCCTCGGGGGCGGCAAGGAAGAGTGTGATGACTAGGGGAGGTGGATATCATGGCGGGGGCCATGATATCTTCCCCGACTTCATCGCGCTTCTTCTCATTTCAATGCGTCCCCGGCCCCCCCTTGGGCCGCGCACGTGCCACTGGCCATGATTTGCGCCCCGCCCCTCTTGGACGCCCCCCTCTTGGACGCCCCCGATCTCCTCGAGCTGTCAGAGACTGGGGTCAATGCAAACGGGGGTCAGCCAGAGCGCCAGATCTTGCAGGATCCTGCAGGGCCAGGGGTGCACTGACCTGGGCTTGCGCGCAGGATCCTGCGGGATCCTGCAGAAGTTCGAATGACCCGGGCCGCTGCGTCTCCGAAGTCCTTCGAGCTTTCGCAACTTTACGAGTCTTGGGGCGCTCCACAACGTGCTGAAGGTACGGTCGCGCGTTCCATCAGCTACAGGGATGGAGGGCTGCCGTTTTCAAAATGTGGTTCGCGCCGGCGTTTTCAAAATGTGGTTCGCGTCGGAGTGCCGCGCCCAAATGCTTCATACTGTTCAAACATATAGGAGGATGGAGGTAGTTTCTTTCAAAAAGGTGCTCTTGCTGTTCGTATTTCTCCACAACGCATGACTGGGAGTGTAATTGTGTGGAGACGCTGCGGGGACTGAGGGTGGCCTCTTTTCCAAACTTGCGGCGCTCGTCTGACGCTTGGTTGACCCTGATGGTCCTACCTCGTCGTATTCCTTACAGTTCGGAATTCGCGAAGTGGTTCCGCTTCAAAGTGGATCCCCGCCATCACGAAATCTGTGCAGGGTTTGGGCGTATTGCAATACCATTAATGCATTATGGGTCCACCCTTGTCCTCCATTCTTCCCTCCGTACAGTTGCATGAGCCGCACAGACACAGCACGTGTGTCGAGTCGCTTCGTTGCATGGTTGAACTATGGAGCAGGTCATGGGTCGCAAGTGTTCGTTCAGTCAGTCGGTCTTCTCGCTTGCCTATTCCTCGCCGTCCTCCGCACACTTTCCTCCTTGCCCGCTTACTACTGCTTCTGCTACTACCACTCATACTACTATGTCTATTACCACTACTACTACTACCCAACGGTGCGTTAGGGGACCCCCGCAAATCATCCACTGTTGCTTTGACCGATGCCGCAGGGATTTAAACGAAGAAGTTCGTTCATATGTTGATGTAGATGTTGACCCTGTGTTGTTGCAATAACGTTTGCAATCGAACACGTCGCAATCAAAACAATAAGAAGCCAACACACTCAAAAACAATAAGGAAAGCTCACAATCAAAAACAATAAGAAATCAACGCAATCAAAAACAATAAGAAACAAACACAATCAAAAACAATAAGGAAAGCACACACTCAAAAACAATAAGAAACCTTCACAATCAAAAACAATAAGAAATCAACACAATCAAAAGCAATAAGAGAACCATACAATCAAAAACAATAAGAAAACCTTACACTGGAAAACAATAACAAAAAAGACAATTAAAAATTATTCACTGCGTGGGGATCCCCATATGTGCATCTCCTTGCTGGCGCTCCATTGGTGGTGGGACTCGGTGAGGACGAATCTGGATTTAAGTGTGACTGAGCTGCCTCTCTCTCTGCTCTCTCTGCTCGCTCTGTCTCTCTCTCTCTGCCCTCTCTCTGTCTCTGCCTCTCTTTCCCTGCCTCTCTCTCTCTCTCTCTGCCTCTCTCTCTGCCTCTGTCTCTCTGCCTCTCTCTCTCTCTCTGCCTCTCTCTCTGTGCCTCTCTCTCTCTGCCTCTATCTCTGCCTCTCTCTCTCTCTCTCTCTCTCTCTCTCTCTCTTCTCTCTATTCTCTCTCTGCTCTCTCCTCTCTCTCTCACTCTCCCTCTCTCTCTCTCTCGCTCTCTCTCTCTCTTCTCTTCTCTTCTCTTCTCTTCTCTCTCTCTCTATCTCTCTCTCTCTCTCTCTTCTCTCTCTCTCTCTCTCTCTCTTCTCTCTCTCTCTCTCTTTCGCTCTCTCGCTCTCTCTTGCTCTCTCTCGCTCTCTGTCGCTCTCTCTCGCTCTCTCTCTCTCTCTCTCGCTCTCACTCGCTCTCTCTCGCTCTCTCTCGCTCTCCCTCGCTCTCTCCCGCTCTCTCTCTCTCTCTGCTCTCTCGCTCTCTCCTCTCTCTCTCTCTCTCTCTCTCTCTCTCTCTCTCTCTCTCTCTCTCTCTCTCTCTCTCTCTCTAGCTGAGACGTCCCACCAAAATCGGCGCGAACGGGCTCGTGAGATCAGCCAGGGTGGCTCCCCTTTGGGGCTCCCAAATGATGCCCCTGGCAGCGTTTTGCGACCATGAGGCTCTCAAGAGATACATGTTGGGGAGCCAAACGGCAATTCTAGCTGAGGCGTCCCACCAAAATCGGCGCGAACGGGCTCGTGAGATCAGCCAGGGTGGCTCCCCCTTGGGGCTCCCAAATGATGCCCCTGGCAGCGTTTTGTGACCATGAGGCTCTCAAGAGATACATGTTGGGGAGGCCAAACGGCAATTCTAGCTGAGGCGTCCCACCAAAATCGGCGCGAACGGGCTCGTGAGATCAGCCAGGGTGGCTCCCCCTTGGGGCTCCCAAATGATGCCCCTGGCAGCGTTTTGTGACCATGAGGCTCTCAAGAGATACATGTTGGGGGCGCCAAACGGCAATTCTAGCTGAGACGTCCCACCAAAATCGGCGCGAACGGGCTCGTGAGATCAGCCAGGGTGGCTCCCCCTTGGGGCTCCCAAATGATGCCCCTGGCAGCGTTTTGTGACCATGAGGCTCTCAAGAGATACATGTTGGGGGCGCCAAACGGCAATTCTAGCTGAGACGTCCCACCAAAATCGGCGCGAACGGGCTCGTGAGATCAGCCAGGGTGGCTCCCCCTTGGGGCTCCCAAATGATGCCCCTGGCAGCGTTTTGTGACCATGAGGCTCTCAAGAGATACATGTTGGGGGCGCCAAACGGCAATTCTAGCTGAGACGTCCCACCAAAATCGGCGCGAACGGGCTCGTGAGATCAGCCAGGGTGGCTCCCCCTTGGGGCTCCCAAATGATGCCCCTGGCAGCGTTTTGTGACCATGAGGCTCTCAAGAGGATACATGTTGGGGGCGCCAAACGGCAATTCTAGCTGAGACGTCCCACCAAAATCGGCGCGAACGGGCTCGTGAGATCAGCCAGGGTGGCTCCCCCTTGGGGCTCCCAAATGATGCCCCTGGCAGCGTTTTGCGACCATGAGGCTCTCAAAAGATACATGTTGGGGGCGCCAAACGGCAATTCTAGCTGAGACGTCCCACCAAAATCGGCGCGAACGGGCTCGTGAGATCAGCCAGGGTGGCTCCCCCTTGGGGCTCCCAAATGATGCCCCTGGCAGCGTTTTGTGACCATGAGGCTCTCAAGAGATACATGTTGGGGGCGCCAAACGGCAATTCTAGCTGAGACGTCCCACCAAAATCGGCGCGAACGGGCTCGTGAGATCAGCCAGGGTGGCTCCCCCTTGGGGCTCCCAAATGATGCCCCTGGCAGCGTTTTGTGATCATGAGAGAGTGCGAGTGTGAGCTTAACTTATCTTATATTATCTTGAAATCTCTTCTTATCATATCTTGTGCTATCTTATCTTATCTTGTAGTATCTTATATTGTCTTGTCTTATCTGGTGATTATCATTGGGAGGAGGGAGGCGCGAGCGGGAGGAAGAAGGAGGAGGAGGAGTGGGAGGCGTCAGAGTAATAACAAGAACCCCAATCCTTAGGATATGGGGAACAATAAGAAAACGTCTTGGGACCACGATCCCTGTGAGGGTTCCAAAAAATCTAAAAACAATCCAACAAAAACCAGATAAAACCTGTGAGGGTTCCAAAAAATCAAAAATCAATGGTTGTCGGGTCTTCGAACTCCCTCCGGCCCCCTCCCAGCCCGTCCCAGGCAGCCTGGAGACCCGAAAAACATGGATCTTTGGATTTTTTTGGAACCATCTCAGTTTTTTTTTTTATATAAAAAAATATGTTTTGGATTTTTTGGAACCCTCACAGGGATCGTGATTCCAAGACGTTTTCTGATTGTTTTTCATTGTTTTTTTTGTTATTGTTTTCCTGTGTAAGGTTTTCTTATCGTTTTTGATTGTATGGTTCTCTTATTTCTTGTGATTGTGTTGATTTTTTATTGCTTTTGATTGTGTTGATTTCTTATTGTTTTTGATTGTGAGGGTTTCTTATTGTTTTCCATTGTAAGGTGTTCTTATTGCTTTCCATTGTAATGTTTTCTTGTTGTTTTCGTTTGAACGGCTTTCTTATTCTTGTTAATTGTAATATTTTCTTATTGTTTTTGATTGTATGGTTTTCTTATTGTTTTTGGTTGTGTTGGTTTCTGATTCCCCACCCGACAGGCTGGGGTCGTTAGATTTTCAGGACAGACCTCCCGGCCACCCCCACCCTGCATACCGCGGCCGCCAGACCTCAGATTGTCCCGAGTATCCGTGGTTATCCCGCCCCCCCGCGCCTTCGACGAACATGACAGACATGAACAGAACAGATCACGACAGAACAGAGCAGGACATACACATGAAATAACAGAGCATGACCGCCTCGAGTTTAAGGTGATGGCGCTCCTGGCGGCGATGCGGTGCATCGCAGAGCGGGCCGAGGAGCTGCGCCAGTGGGGGTTGCAGCTCTTCCAGAAGACCGAGCTGGTCTGGGAGTGGGTGTTCGACGCGCGGCGCCGCCCGCGCCAGGTCGATGCACCTCGGCGCTGGGGCTGAGGGGGGAGGAGCTCATTCGTCGTCGGGTGTCTTAGGGTAGACCTGAGTAGTGCTTCCTCACTACGGTTTTGTTACGGCCTCGGAGAGCGCGCTTCTCCGACCAGCGCGTGCCACTTGCATGCTGTCTCCTCTTCCTCCACCAATCCATTGTTTTCCGTTCCGCCTTCCCTGCTCCTCTTGTTCCGCTCCGCGCCATCGTGCTCAGTCTCGGCTTTCTTGCGTCCTCCTGCTTCGTCCTCCCCCATACCGCTCCACGCTACTCCATTCCGCCAATCCTGCCTCCAACCGTGTGTTTCTGCTTCATGCTAGTCCATGGTTCGTGGCACTCTCCCTTCTTTTCCTGCTTGCATCTGCTTCCCCCTGAATCGGGCACTCGTCCTTCAGGTTCGTTCTACTCCCGGGGCGCCGCCCATGCCATGGGCGGAGTGACGATGAGGCGAGACAGTCCAACTCATGGGCGGTCTAGAATCAGTCATTCCTGGAGCGCCGCCCATGGATTGGACGCTCGGCGCGCCGCGTGTCCAACCCATGGGCGGATCGACCATGGGGCGAAGTAGTCCAACTCGTGGGCGGGCTACGAATCGGGCATTCGTTTCGCGGGCGTTCTCTTCCTGGGGCGCCGCCCAGGGGTTGGGCGCCTGGCTCACCGCATGTCCAACCCATGGGCGGATCGACGACAGCGTAGCCGTCGTCGCTGACGTGCGTCATATCTCGATTGCAGCGTTAAGGGCGAAGGATTTGGATGGGCAGAGGAGTAGCATCAGTGTCGGCGCCCAGGTAGACGCCCCGTCGCCGCGGCCAGAACCGGCGACGCCATCGGGCGCGAGGCACCGCCGGGCGCGGCCGCGAGCTCTCTCTTTCAGTTGTCACCACAGGCTCTCCGCTCCGCCACGGGCTCCCTTGAGGCCGCATTTCTCCGAGACACGGGTGCGAACGCGCCCAGCCAGCAGGCGACCGCCTGCGGGTTGCCCGCGCCCTCCGCCACCAGTCCAACCCATGGGCGGTGCAGAATTTCAGACATTTCATTCGCACCGACTACGACGCCCATCCAGTTTCATGTTTTGATTCTGTCTGAGTGAACGGCCGAGGTCTGTTCGCAGGCCAAGTCCATGATGTATTCTAATTGGCGCGCGTGGGCATCATCCGCTCGGAAGTTCTTGCCCATGTGTTGGGCGGCGACCCGACGTGATCGCTCGGGTGGCGATCTCATCATTGTCGACCGCGGCTGTTTTGGCCCGAGAGCTCGGCCCATCTTGCTGACGCGCGCGCCCGAGCGATTCTGTATTCAGCGCGTCTCTGGGCAGCCCGCTCCGCGCGACGCCGCGCGCGACGCCGCCCAGGTCCACGCGGGGCGAGAAGCACAAGTGCAGCGCACGCGGGTCGGCGCACCACCGCGTCGAGACATGCCAGACGCCGGCGGCGGTCAAGATCAGGGATCTCGCGCGGCAGCTGAAGGAGGCCCGTCGGGGAAAGAAGGCCGCGAAGCCAGTGCGGCGCAAGCCCATGCGTTCCGCCCCCGCCAAGACCGGCTCGCATGAGATTAAGGCGACGAAGATGTACACCAAGAACGCAATGAAGGCCCGTAGGAAGACCGCCCGTGAGAAGAGCGCCTGGGGCGAGGGCGGCAGGCGCGAGGAGGTGGCGCCGCTGTTCGACGACAGGGCGTGCCTGTTGCGGCTGCAAGCGGCGGGCTGGGTGCATTCAGTGCCTACCGCGTGTCCTGCGTGCGGCAGGAAGGGTTCGATGGTGGGCCCCGCGCCCCGCCCCGGCAGGAACTCTGGCATGCTCTACTACAGGTGCCACGGTGCATGCGAGAGGTGCGGCGCGTGGCACAACGTGCTGAAGTTCTCCAAGCTGCCCCTGACGAAGATGACCGTGGGCCAGACGCATTCCGTCCTCCACGGCTTCTGCGACCTGACTAAGTCGCCTGCGCCAGCCGCCGACGACCTCGCGGCCGACGCTGGCGCTGGGCACAGGCAGACGGGCAAGCTCGTCGCGGCGGTCCGCGCTGCCATAGCGGCTGCGTCGGTGAAGGAGTCTTCGCGCATCCGCCTCGGCGGCGATCTCGAGGCCGACGAGCACGGTTTGCGACTCGCGCACATCAGCCCGAACAATAGGAACTTCGCCCAGCCGGTCGTCAAGAAGAAGCCGCCATATTGGCTGCTATACCTCCGCGTGATCGGCATGAGGCGCCGCGCTGGCGGGAAGATGATCGCGAAGTTTCTGGGGGACAAGCTGGTGCGCCCGAAGGGGGGGCCGCCGCCGCTCTCGGAGAAGGAGCTCATCGACTGCAAGATCCTCGAGCGCGCTGCGAAGGGCAGCGTCATCTTCACAGACGGCGCGAAGGCGCACGGAACGATCATCAAGAAACACTTCAAGGGGAAGCTCTACAGCCGCCAGGTCGCTCACAACAGGATGCAGTTCGTGAGGCGGGTCACGGCGCCGTCTGGGCACTCGAAGATGGCGGGCGCCCAGTCGATCGACGGCACGTGGAAGCATCTGCAGACGCACATCCCGCAGAGCCTCCACACGAAGAAGGGCCGCAAGAAGAATCCGATGATTGAGACCTACGTCAACGAGTGGGTGTGGCGACACAACCACCGCGAGGGCAACGGCTTCAAGATGGTGGGGGCTCTCTTCAAGGACTGAGTGGTGCTGTGATGCGACTCTGCCCCCGTCGGGAATGCGGGCTCTTTTCAGCTGGCGAGATAGTCGGGGCCCGCCAGTGACAGTTCTGCGCTAGAACACTTCTATGTCGTTGTATGGCATCGCCGTTTTGCGTCATATGATGTCATATCGATTCGCGGGGGTCCCCTAACGCACCGATGCAAACTACTACTACTACTACTACTACTACTACTGCTGCTGCTGCTACTACTACTACTACTACTACGACTACGACTACGACTGCGACTACGACTACGACTACTACCACTATTACGACTACTACTATGACTACGACTACGACTACGACTACGACTAGTACTAGTACTAGTACTACTACTACTACTACTACTACTACTACTACTACTACTCCTACTACTACTATTACTACTAATAACATAGTAGTACTACTCTTATCATTCATATTATTTCTACTACTACTACAAGTACTACTAGTACTACTTCGCCGCTACGAAAGTTCGGCCAAAATTCAACGCCTCCCGGTGGGCGACGAAGCCCCAGTACAACGTTGGCAGTGGGCCCGTTAGGCCGCGGGGCCCCAGTACAATGTTCGGTTGAAGCATTTTTCGCTCCCGTCTCGGGCGGCGCCGCCCTTTCGAGATCGAGCCCGCGGGTTTCGAAATCCAGTCGAGCTCGTTTTTGGGGGGAAGTCCGAGGCGAAAGCCACATTTCGAAATCGAGCCCGAGGGTTTCGAAATTCAGTCGAGCTCGTTTTGGGGAGGAAGTCCGAAGCGAAAGCTGCATTTTCGAGTTTTCGGGTCAGGGCTTTAAAATTTTTAATGCCAAACGGTGCGGCCATTTCGAAACGGCGGTTTCGCTTGATACTTCCTCGGGAAAAACGATGTCTAACGATTTCGAAACTTTCGGGTTCGATTTCGAAATGGCGCTCCCGCCTAGGACTTCCGCAAGCATATGATTCGAAATCTGTCTGCTTCGATTTCGAAATGGCGCTCCCGCACAGGACTTCCTCAAACCTAGAAGTCGAAACCTTCCTGCCTCGATTTCGAAATGGCGCTCCCGCACAGGACTCCCTGCAAAATGAGGTTCGGCATTTGTTCCGTTCGAACTCGAAATGGCGTTCTCGCCCCAGGATGTCCTCCAAAACAGAATTCGGAACCTTCGGGTTCGATTTCGAAATGGCGCTTCCGCCCAGGACTTCCTCAATCAAGACTACGATCAGAACAACGACCACGACCACGACCACTACGACGACGACGACGACGACGACGACGGCACGGGGGTACTAGCGTCAAGGTGCTGCTCATAGGTTCTGTGGTGCTCTCAGGCTTTGGAGTGATGCACACGGCCGTCGTGGTGTTCATAACCAATGTGATGTCCAGGCGTTGTTTTGCTGAAAACACAAAACGGGTCAAAACTTTCGTAGCGCCGATGTACTACTACTACTGGTACTACTACTACTACTACTACTACTACTACTACTACTACTACTACTACTACTACTACTCCTACTACCACTACTACTACTACTACTACTACTACTACTA